GAGGGGCCTATGAAGCACTGTGTACGTGCAGACCTGTCTGAAATGATGCTATAATCAGTCCGTAAGATTTAGATTTTCTCTGGGATCGCTTGCTGCCTCAGTATACCCCGTTTCGAACATCTACGGAATCATAGACTTTTCATGTCAGTGCCTTCGATGGACATCAGAAAAAAGACAGAAGTGCCTTTTTTCTTCCCGCTAAACCGTCTTTGGGGAAATGGCGACAACAGTTACTATCATTGTTATAGTTAAGCGTCTGGTTCTCAGGACTTACTGTTTTATCGGTATCCTGACATCTTTTTTGTACATGCGGTTCTCCATCTTGCTGTATTCGTCTGTAATGGCTTCAGAATTGCTTATCTACATCGTGACTTTCAAGGATTTAGAATTAAATATTTGTTTAACTTTTGTTTTGTGTAATCGCTTTGTTGCTATGAAGGCGGGTATGCTCTAGAAATTAGGTTGCCACCAGTAAGAGAGGAATAAAATAATTTGTTTCTTGTTGAAGAAAAATACGGGAATTTCAGCGAGATGCGAAAACACTGCAGGGCGATTCCACGTTAAATCGCATTTTTTTCAGTCGACCCCTCGGATTATTTTCATTTGTAGTACATGACACCTGATTGCAAAATTAAAAAAGTTTACTTCAAAAAGCGTATTTTTAGTCCTTATTCCTACTTTCGTAAGTCATAGCGCAAAAGATAAATCTGGAGAATGTTTTAAAATGTGAAGGAAATGCAGTTTTTGCTAAACATCGTCATCTTTAGAAGCTTCTAGCATCATCTGGTCACAACGCGTTTATGAAATTTTTGCTTCATTTAAACGCTTATGGCACTTTTTTGTTGTTTTTAGCTAATATCTTTTGTTTTCTTCAATGGAGCAGTCTTCACGTATAATACCCGAAAGATCAACACTGCTGTTACCTTCTTTCTACTTTGGGAGGTCATAGTGCAGTGATTTTTGACGTAAATAACTTTGGAAAATTTCATTTTTGTACAGTAGTTAAGTGCGTAATGGGCACATACTACAGTGTGTAGATTTCAGTTTTTAGAAAAATTTCTCTTTAACGATATGTTCATTGGTTACTGCTTTAAAGTAACTGGTGATAGGACTAATATTGAAAGTTTATTGAGAACGATTTTTCTGGTTTACTCGGATTCATTTACACAGCTACATCAATAAAGATGAGGCACCTTCAACTGTGTTGTAGCCATGAAGACAGTTTCCTACCCGATTCTTCATTATTTTTCTTTCCTTTCACTTTTTTCTTCGCTAATCTCTTTTTTGCTTTATTCTCCTCTAGTTTTATAATTTCTAGAGTTTCAGAGAATGCGCTGCGAGCCTTCTCTCGTTTTAAAAGGCAAGAAATTGTCCAGATGGAATCAAAATAATTTAATTTTTCAGCTGTTTCAATGAATTTTATATTTTTCCGCACAAACCTAATATAATAAATTTGAAAAGCTCGATAACATTAATTGTTCGGTAATTCTTCTGCAGGATAAGCGAGTTTTAAGATGACGCTTTTAATGAGCAGTTTCAGATTTTTCAGTAAAATTAGTTTTAAATTTTTTATAAATCATTTTGCTGTAATTTGGCTGTCTCAAACAGTGGAAGAACGACATTCAAATGTTTAGTGGATTCTTCCTGAAAACAGGCTAGTGTTAAGTTATAATATGCGTTTCCTCTAGGAATTTATAAAAAATTGTTGATATAACTAATAAAATGGTTTTTTTTTTTGATTTCGGACAAGTTTGCAAAGTAGCAATAAGAATAAAACTAAATAT